CCTTTTTTTTTTTTTTTTTTTTCGTGGGAAGGAAATAAAGGGGGGAAACCCGAAACCCCATTAATTAATTATAGATATTATTCTCAAAAGTAACGTTCTTTATTAGTTGCAAGGAAAAAGAAGAGTTTTTTTTTTCGAACTCAGAAAAATTATTAATGGACGGGGAAATTCACTGAGTCAACTCGGTTAACTGGAAGCGAGTTGAATCGAGCAGACTCGGTCTATAATCTGAATCAAACGAAACGAAATGATGGTATCTCAGAAAATTCACCGCAGATCCATACTTTGTTAGTTGAAATCAGCACTATCTATCGCCGCCGGCGTCTTGATATGGCCACCGTTCCGCCGCCACTGGTATTTGAATATCAAATGTTGACCGTGGCTCCGCAGTGGCGATTCTTGTAGCTTGAAGGCGGCAACAATGGCTTCCACACCTCTAAAGCTATGAGATTCTGATAAAAATGGCCGATAGAAGAGAGAGCTGCATGAAGAAGAAGCTGAGAACTATATATATAGAGCAAACAGAAGTGATAAAATGAAGAATTGGAATCGATAAAGCAGAACAAGAACAATCAAATAGTATTGAAATTTTGAAATGTACATGGAAATCCATTCACACTTCCTTTTTCTGATTTGTTCTTGCATCTATGAATATAGAAAAATCGTCACTGCATCGATCCACAAGCTTCCATGGATGAGTAAATAGTACCTCTGCGCCCTGATTCAACTGAATCTTGGAGGTACTCGATTGAATGCGAGTCGAAGAAGATTACTCTACAGTTTCCTTAATCAGCTACCCTCGTCAAAACTGAGTGTGATTCGCCTTCATACGCTCAAGAATGGCTGTTACCACTTCACCTTGTAGCTCGGTTTCTTCTTCTTCTTCCACCGCACCAGCAGCAGCATTTCCATTAGTTTTAGCATATCCATTTCTGTCTTTCTCCTGAAGTACAAGAAAAGCAAGCCGTTCCAAGGCGAGAGTAGCCTGCTTCTTAGCGAACACAGCATTCCTGATCTTCATCTCCGCTACAGCCCTAGCGTCAGCCGCCGCTCTTCGCATGGATTGAGCGGCGACACGAGCCGCAGCGACAATCGCCTTCGCCGATTTACCATCTCTACCGGCCAAAACGGCAACGGCGGGCTCCGATTGGCGAAGGCCGTCGGAGTCGAAACCGTCGAAGAAGGCAAAGCAAGGATCGGAGCAGACAGGGCAGAGGAACGTAGAAGAAAAACGAAAGGAAGCACAAGAGACATGAGATATTGAAGGGCATCTGAAGCACATAACTCGCTGATGAGACGACGGCGGAGTCGAATCGTCGTAAATATCGAAGCAAAGAGGACAGAAACGGGAAAGATTGTTCTTAAGGACGCAATTGGTGCAGAGACGACGGAAGGAAGCTTTGAAACGGACATTGTGGAGGATCCAGCATACGGACTGAGAAATCCCGCATTCGTGGCAGTTAGAAATGGAGTTGGATTGAAGATGGTTGTAGTGCGGCCGATTCATCGGAGGAACAGCAGCAGCATTCGCCGGGACAGAAACCCTAGAATCGGAACCGGCGACAAAATCCGGGGCTGTGAAAACGAGGAAGAAGAAGAAGTCGCCTGGCGATTTGGGTCTCTTTGTTTGAATTTTGAACTCAATCTGCACATCAACGTCTTCGTTCATTTTCTCCTAAATTATTAATTTTCCACCCTATATTCAATCAACCTTATTTATTTATTTAATTTTAATTATTAAGAATTTTAATCAGTTTTTATAAGAAAATTGTTGAAATATATTTACTTTTAATCTGTAATTCACAGTAGCTACCTAAAATCGAGCAATACTTAGACAAGCGTGTAATGAGCAGAATTTGAACTAGTTAAATTTCCTAATTATTTCATTTATTGTAAAGTTAATTATTTCATTTATTGTAAAGTTAAAGGTATAACTACTACGGACAGTGATTTGTTTTAAACCATACGTCCAGACTTCTTTTTGCCTTTGAAGACCAGTAAAATAAGCACGACTTTCTCGTTATCATAAATTACGTGCGGCTTCTTTTTGCCTTTGAAGACCAGTAAAATAAGCACGAGTTTCTCGTTATCATAAATTACATGGAATTCAACAGAGGAACAGGAATACGCTTCTACCATTTGATATGAAAGTTTACCTGGTTCCATATGCAAAGAAAATCAGGCAAGATTATCACATGTTCTATTGAATCACGGAATTATTATAATTGACATCGAAATTTTAATTCTTAAATATAAGTCATTAGTATTGAAATAGTGTAAATTCAATATTTTTTTAACAAGAGTGTAAACTAATAACCGAATCAACAGAACTCGGGTTGAGTTGGGATTCACCATATAGCTTCCTTTCATGGATTGGATTGACAAATTTGAAATTTTAATAGTTGGTTTGGGTCCAAAAAGTTGGTTATCCCAACCCAACTCAGTATAACTCAAAGGGGAAGATCATTTAGCTTCTCCGATGAGTATCATCAGTTGCAGGTGTTACCTTGATTGTTTCAGCTCCCCTTGTTGTCCAAGATGATCAGCTACAATTCTGCCAACATCCTCCACTCCAACTCCAATGCACAGAGGATTTGCAGAGCAGCTTTGTCCGGCCAACGCACCAGAGACTCTCACATTTGGTCCATCTCTGCATTTCCCCATGCATTTACACCCACAAACAGCACCATCAGCTCCCATCACCCTCTCAAATTCCTCCATCAATGCTGCTGCCCCTGCCTTCTTGCACTTGTTTCCCATACACACTTCAACCCTCCCTACAGATACCGATCGTGCGACGCCGATGTTTTTTGTGTCGGAATTGAGCAGTTGGGATTGCAAAGGAGGAGGCAGTGTTGATTCTTTGATGCCATTTGTCTTCCATTGATCTGGGAATGGCTGTGAAAGTGCCTTCCTTATTTGGTAGCTTGTGTTGGTCATGTAGCCTTCGTTGTCACTGGATTCAGAGGATGAAGATGATGATGACTCGTGAATTGTTTTTACTCGAGTTGCTTTAAGCTTGGCCTTCTCTAACTTCCTCCTTCTTTTCTGGTCCTTTTCCTCAGATTTTAGTTGTTGAAGCTGTTTTACCAATGCCTCTCTTGTTTCCTCGATCTGCAATTAAGGGAACAACAATGCGATCAATGGATGTTATCAAAAAATCTATTCAGCCAAAACAAATACAACAAGAAATCATTCATGAAGATTGAGTTCTAGTGCGATCGAGCAGAAACAAGAGATTTGGATCGCAAGTATATGCAAAGAAATCTCAAGCTCAACTCCGATTCAACATGGATAATTTATATTACTTAATTCGGATAAAGAGAAGAAAACATCTCAATTATTCAGCTGGTGCAGATCAAGTAGCGCGATCAAACCGGATTTAGGTCAAGAGATTTTAAAAATGCTTGAAGCGATTTTACAGAATTGTTCAACTTACAGAGAAGCGATCCGCTTGAAAGTCTCCGATCAAGCAATCATCAAATCGAAACACTAAGCCAGATTCGTGATCCGTAGATGAATAACCGGACAATCCTTTCAACAATTTCAATTTCTTCTTCACCGCTTCCTTCTCCTTCTTCAACCTCCTCCCCTGGCAATTCGGTCCAACATAATATCGCAAATGACCATTATCAGAAAACCTAGAAGAATCTATATTCCGACGACCGACGAGGCCAATAACGTGAGTTCCAGTACTAACAGAGCCACCGGAAACGGACAGGCTACAGGGAGCCCGCCGTGCATCGGCGCTGGCGACATCAACGGATTGAGCAATCTCGCAGCGGAAGAGGCTAGAGAGCCGCCGGGTAACGGCGCCGGAGACCTCCATGGATTCGAGGAGGATGGATTGAAGATTTCAACTAGGAAAGAAGCGACGAATCAAATTTTGAAACTAAACCAAATTACGGAAGGATCGAGTTTTGCTGACGTGGCGGATTTTGATTCGAAAGATGGAGGACCTCGTGTCGACTCACGTGGACCACGAGCTTTTTCCGTTCCCGCGCAAGCGCTGCATTAACCCCCGCCGTTGGATGATTATAGCGTGGATTGTATGGCTGGTGATAGTACACGTGGAAACACGTAGGATGCTGACGTGTACCGCTTTAAGTTTTTGGCTTTCCCTTTCCATTCAAACAAGAAACAAAAAACAAAAAATTCTTTAATTATTATTATTATTATTTTTTATTTTTTTTTGTAGTTGAAATTTTTTCTTATTTATTTTAATTTTTTTAAGAAATAATTATTTTAAAATAAATTAAGATAAGCGTGCCACCTTAATGAATATTCGTACCTTATTTAAAATAGAAGAAAATATATTTGGCGTATGAAATTTAAAAAATAATTGTTGAAGTGCTCGACATACTCATTGGTCTCTCTCGCTTCTTGTAGAAGATATATTTTCAGACACGTGTACACATCTCTCCCCAAAAGAGCATCAACGCCCAACAAAATGCCACCTGTAAGTCGATGCTAACACGTGGCTAATCCGTACACCCCAACCGACCTCTCCAGACGCCACGTATCATCCCGTCTTCCTCCGCCACGTCTACTCACCGTTTACCGCTTCTCCACTATAAAAAAAAAGCCCTAAATTCCCCATTTCGCCGGAGCTTAATTTTCTTCACTCTACTTCACGATTTCACTTATTTACTTTCAATTCATCAATCCAAATGCCTTCGATTCGAGTTCGCCGTTGCCGGATTGCTCTACCGGTGGCGGTAGCGGTGGCAGCGGTGGCGTTGCTGGTTTTTACGGCGAGTTTTTGCTGGAGCGAGAACGTGGTGCACGTTCCGTCGACGGAGGAGGGTCGAGATTACCAAGAAATGAAGGTTGAGACGGCGGCGAAAGATGAAAAGGAAAAGGATCAGTCGGCGGAGACTTGGACGGAATGGGCGAAAGAGAAGATTTCCGGCGGACTTGGACTGAAAAATGAACGGCCAGAAGATGGCGTAAAGAAAGTTACTGATTTCACTTCCGGTGCCGCTGAAAAGGCGAAGGACAAAATGGGGAATGCCGCCTCAGGTTCTGTTCTTAATAAATTTATAAACAAATTTCTTCGAAATTGGAAGTTTCTAGAGAATTTTTCTGTGAATTTACTAAAAAGCTCTTTTCCTCTCCGGTAGAAGCGGGACATTGCGGTGGTGAGAAGGGCAGAGAAGTGAAGGACACGGCGGCGGAGAAGGCCGGGAATGCGAAGGACAAGGCGGCTGAAATGGCGAACACGGCGGCCGGGAAGACAACCGAAGGAGCAGAGAAGGCGAAAGAATACGCATCCAATGCAGCAAAAGCAGCGAAGGAAAAAACCGCCTCGCTGAAGAACAGAGGCGAGGAAGTCGCCGGTGAGGCGGCGGAGAAAACGAGAGAAGCGGAGGAGGCAGCGAAGAAGAAAACAGAGGAAACAACGGAGGCGGCGAAGGAGAAGGGGAAGGAGACGAAGGAGAGCGCGGAGGCGGCGGCGAGAAGAGCAGAGGAGGCGAAGGAGAAGGTGAAGAGCTGGGCGAAGGACGGGTACGAGACGGCGAAGGAGAAGATAGGGGAGCAATACGAGGCGGCGAAGGAGAAAATGGAAGAGCAATACGAGGCGGCGAAGAAGAAGTCGCAGAGGATCAAAGACGACGTGGTTTGGTCGGAGGCGGAGATCGGGCCGGACGACGAGCTGTGAATAACTCCGGCATGGTGGCGGGAGTGTGTGTTCATATTATAATGTAGAGAAGAGAGTTTCGTTTTAAGATTTCAATAAATAGTTTTTAATGGTTTATAATTATTTATTTTTAGAATTCTATTATTACTAATAATCTTCATTTATTTAATCAATGAGACACGAAATAAATGCGACCAAAAATTTAAATAAATAACACTTTTTAGTCGGTACGTCTCCACGTGTTGTGTATTTTATTTTAAATGATTTCAGACTTGATTTTTGTACTTTCGTCGATTAAATAAGTAAAGTGACGAAATTAATAAAGATACACATTTTAAATTAACAAAAAATACGATTATATTTTTTTGCACTTTTATCTAAAAATAATATATTTAAATTTTTCATTTAAATATTATATAAAATATTCCTCTCCTCAAACAAAGTACACTATAAACCTCCCATGGGGTTTATGAAGCTCTTGAGAGAGGCTCGACTCCTTTTTTTGGAGTCCTTGAACAAAGTACACTATTTGTTCGACACTTTAGTCACTTTTGACTATACCTTCGAGACTCACAATTTTTTGTTCGATATTTGAGAATTCTATTGACATGGTTAAGTTTACACTTTAGTACTAAGCTTCGATATTAGGCATGGCTCTGATACCATATTAGAAATCACGACTCTTCATAATGGTATGATATTGTCCACTTTGATCATAAGCTCTCGTATTTTTGCTTTGGGGAGTAATCTTCTAAAAATACCCTTATCCTACTGTATTTTATTTATTTTATTTTTAAAGTATCCTTTTAACATTACGACTATATTTAAAAAATATTTTATTTTAAAAATATCCTTTTAACATTACACTATAATTAAAAAATATTATTTTTAAACTTATTTTTAAAATATAATATCAATAAAATTTGTAAAGTAACATTAAAACTTTGTTACCATTTAAAACAATTTCAAATATACTTTTTCAAAGATATTTTTTAAAAAAATTAGAGTTTCTTTTTACTTTCTAAAAATTTAAGGATGTTACTCTCTCGAGGATGGTATGATATAAACTCATGATCATTCCTTAAATTACCCCGACGTGGGACTTTCATCCAACACCTCCCCTCGAACAAAGTATGCTTCCTCTTAATCAAAATTCGATTCCTTTTCTTTTGGAGTCCTTTGTTCGACATTTGAGGATTTTATTGACATGGCTAAGTTTTAGGACATGATTCTAATACTATGTTAGATGAACACGAATCCAACACCTCCCCCTTCGAACAAAGTACGCTTCCTCTTAATTGAGACTCGACTCCTTTTCTTTCTGGAGTCATTTGTTCGACATTTGAGGATTCTATTAACATGGCTAAGTTTTAGGGCATGACTTTGATACTATGTCACACGAACACGGCGTTTTAGGGCATAACTTTGATACTATGTCACACGAACACGGCGTTTTAGGGCATAACTTTGATACTATGTTAGATGAACACGACTCTCTAGGATGGTATGATATTGTCCACTTTGAGCATAAGCTCTCATAGCTTTGCTTTGGGCTTCCCGAAAAGGCTTCATTCCAATGGAGATAGTATCCCTTGATTATAATCCCATGACCATTCCCTAAATTAGTCGATGTAAGACTTTCCTCCGACAGTTTCTTTAGATAAAATGTGAAGTTCAACCGTATTTTTATTAATAAAACGAAAAAAAAAAAAAAAAACTTAAAAAATTACCATATAACAAAAAGTTCAAAAGGATAAGGATAAAGATTTTTTAAAATTATTATTTAAAAGTAAAGACAAGAATTTTATAACCAATTATAATTATTTTAATGGCAATACTCACGTTTAACACAAAGAGCCAAAAACGGTTGCGTTTCGTGTAAAGTCAATATCATCAGGTAAAATTCGGAGGCGGAAAAAAGAAAAGGAAAATAAATAAATAAATGCAATCATCCAAAGAAAATTGGAGAAAATATTAAAAACGGAAAAAGAAAGCCCAATGAAGCGCGTGGGGTCAATAGTACGTGGTTGCCATTAAAAGTGACAGTCACGCACTGTTCCCGCGCGTGGGGTTCCATTCTGTTCATTTATTGAATCGTTGAATAATCGAAGGCGCGAAGCCAAGTAAAGGGCCAAAAAAGAAAATAAATGAATAAATAATAATTAAAAAATTATTTAAAAGGAGAGAGAGAGAGAGACCACAAACTTGGCAGAGAGAAAGACGCAGTGGTGAAAGAGGAAGACGAAGAAGAAGGAGAATGAGAGTTGGTAAGTATGAGTTGGGGAAGACTCTCGGAGAAGGCAATTTCGGCAAGGTGAAGTTGGCCGCCGATATCCGTACCGGTCGCCGTTACGCAGTCAAGATCCTCGACAAGACTAGGATTCTCCGTCTCAACTTCTCCGACCAGGTTTCTTTCCATTTCATTTCTTCCTTTTTTTTTCTTTATGTTCTTATTGTTATTTAGCGAATCGTACTGATGCAATCGGAATCGATTGCAGATTAAGCGTGAAATAAGTACTCTCAAGCTCCTCAGGCATCCGAATGTTGTAAGACTTTATGAGGTTTGTATTCGAACGAGCGTGATTCGGATGGATTTAGTGAAGAAATTAGTGTTTTGAACTTTTTTGTATGGATGTTACAGGTTTTAGCTAGTAAGACGAAGATTTATATGGTTCTGGAGTGCGCCTCTGGTGGAGAATTGTTTGATAGAATTGTAAGTGTGTTTTATGATGTTGATTTGGTTGAACTCCTGTTGGACATAGTCATAGAATTGGGGAGTTTAAGTTAGAGATTACTTTGTGCGTGTTTTAGGAATCCAAAGGTAAGATGAATGAAGCGGAAGGTCGAAGGCTCTTCCAGCAGCTTATTGATGGTCTCAGCTACTGCCATGAAAAAGGAGTTTACCACAGGGATCTCAAGGTATTTACATGCAGTTTCTGTCTCCTTTCGTGAAACAATAACTCTTCATACCATTTTTATTTGATATTCTTTTGCCGGTTGATCCTTCTAGCTGGAAAACGTGCTTGTTGATGATAAGGGAAACATTAAGATTTCTGATTTTGGCCTCAGTGCTTTACCACAGAATTGCAGGGTAATATTCTATAGAAATCTACTTTTGAGATCATGTCATCTAGATCTAGGCTACTTAATTCGTAGTTGAAGAACTAGAATTGATGGATAGTTTATGGCCTTAGGAAGATGGTTTGCTGCACACT